CCACTGCTTGGGGGCGACCGGATCGCCGCGCCCGGGCCCGAGCGAGCCATCTGCGGGCGCTGTGTAAAGCCGGCGACCGCGCGAGCGCCGCTCAGCTCACACTCGCTCTTCCAGGACGCAGGTCTTTTTTTTTTTTTTTTCCCCCTTCATTTCCCAGATACAGCTGATCGAGTTCGCTGAGCGGCAGAGCGAGTGAGCGCTCCTCGGACAGGGGTGGAGGAAGGCACAGAAAAGTATACTGGAGAAAAAGTGGAGGTTTTAGGGGTGGGGTGGTCTAAGTGGAGGGAGTGAGGATCCTCAAAACATTCCACTTTCTAAATGATCATAGCTAGTATCAGGAATACATGTCACCCTTGCTTCCTTTTAAAGGAGAGGTGGACAATAAAATACAGGTAGGTTTGAGATTAAAATAATAGGTGCCAGAGGTTTCACACCGGCTCCGCTGCACCTGATATAAGAAGACCAGTATTGGCTGAATCCCAGTCAATCTCCCGTCAAAATTGTTAGGAAGAATATTTGTCCTTGGTTACCTCTAACAACTTTATTTGGATTGTAGGTACAGCAACCTTTACGGGGGGGAAAAATGTTACAAACAGTACCACGCGATTACCGCTCAGTGACTCACTCACCCCAGAATGATTAAGGAGAGAGGTTTCAAATAGGATTTACACAGTTTTGACCTCTGGGTAACAAACTTTAAAGTATACTCGGTAAGAAATTTCAAACGCTTAAATTTCGGGCTTCTAAGTCAGGCCATAGAAAATTCACTTTGATTTGACATTTCTTGGACGAAAAATAACCAGCAAGACTTCTTTAGATAACGTGGCTCTTAAAGGGCTTCTTGGGATTTGAAAGTTGCTAATGCTAAAGCGCAAGCGCCCAGCCGCAGCTAGAATGTCTCTTTCACCGGGCACAGTAAATGGCTTTTGATAAAGCAAATGCGCTTATGACTTAAAGATCCTATAAAAGCTACGACTTGCAAGGGCTGCGAAGCAGAAACATTCACACCTAGTCGATAAGACACTCATTTTTTGGTAGGATGGGGACAAGTATTTTTCGTGTGTCCCTCGAATTTAATCAGATCAAAGGTTGAATCGTGTTGCGTCGTGACAAGAGTGTTTGTGAAGTGTTACAAGTATACTGGCCGATCATTACCACCATCTTCTGCAACACACGCACGCACACACTTTTCCTAGGACACTTACAATCTCAGCCTCAAATTCATCAAACTGTGAAGTCAAATCTTTGAATAAGAATAGTGATGGTACTATGTTTGAGTCCATACCCTGTAGGAAACTTTTGGCACGGGACTCAAACATTGCAAAGAAGAAGAAAAAAAAAATCAGGCCGGCCCGGTTAGGTGTTGGGGATAAGAAAAAAAGACTTGCTTGAGCATCTCCAGCCTTCATTTCTCCCCTTTTGCCGCCTCCTGACACTCCCCCCCCCCAACCCCATTACGGAAACAACACAGACCCTCACAAACACACTACTCACACTTCCAATGATCGGCTACTGTATCAAGTGTTCTAATTGGGAAGGGACAATTTAGGCTGGGGACAAAAATAATCTATCAACGTGCCCATTACATACAGGACGGAATAATGCTTCTGTTGGTTGGGTCCTTTCGAGGGAAGCGGGTGTACTGAGCGGGGAAATGTGGGTTCTGTGAATGAATCAAGGTTACTTCCTTTCTTCTTTTTCGCCCTATTATTTTCCTTAAGTATCGCAGTATGTACATGTGAGCGCCAGCCCACAAATAAACTGGCAGGAGTGAAGGATACATGCCCTCCACACCTTAAAACCATCTGCTCAGTTTGACATTTAAAAGGGAGGAGGGCAGGGAAGGAGGAGGGGGAGAAGGGGGAAGAAAGGAAGCTGGGAGGGAGAAAAGGTTCAGACCCTGGAAGGAAACGGCTTGAACTTTAGCCCACAAGTTTATGTCAATTGCACCTAGCGCTCGGGTGCACGTTTAGCACACACTACGCCCGGGAAGTGGCGGCGGGAAAAGTTCCCTGCGAGCCCCAGTAAGTCCTTTATCACTCCCGGGGGAAGGCAGGCCCCAGTCTTAGTCGGGGTAACCCGCTTGGCAAACAGGAAAGCTCCCCCAACCCCCAGCCTCGGCGACGGAGGCTCGCGGCTTGCCAGCTCTGCCGCGGAGGTTCGCAGCCCGCATTTGGGCACAAGAGCGGCTTTTTGAAATAGCGCGCGCGACGCTGGACGCGCGAGCTCGGTCCACAGCCCAGCTCCGCGAGCTGCGTACGCGGAGCCCGGTCCTGTCCCCTAATGTCTAGGCGACGTACAGGCCAGGCTCCTGGCAACCTCTCTTGCCAGAGCTGCGGCGCTCTCCCGGGTCTCGCACCGCCCTGGAGCAAGGCGTGAGGCCCGAGCCCTCTATCTCGGGCTACTCCCGGTTTGTTTTCTGATAGGCGAGAAGCGATCAGTCAGCCCCGGAGACAAGAAGTCGCCTAGATATTAGCTCCATCTCTGAAACCAGCGGCCAAGCCTAGGGTCAGTCCCTTTCTCCGCCCCAATGCGAACACAACCCCAATAACTTAAAAGTTAACACAAGTCCTGACCGGTCTGCCAACAAACCCCATCCGTGCAAGCTACATTTACTTATTTATCTGAAGGGTGATCTGTGCGTTCTTAGTCAAACTCTTGCACTTATCACTTATGCATCTGGTTCTGGGTTAAACACACTTCGCCTTGACATTTTCTCGGCGTATTTTACCCCTCCGGTTCTTTCTTAAAACCAGTAGGTGGGGGTAGGAGAGAAGACTGCATATAAGTAATTTAAAACCTTACAAACAACCTTCAGCAGATCTTAAACCAATTCTGGGAATTTCAACCAGACCAGTTGAGAGACAAACGTGGATGTTTATTTCACGAGAAGGATGCTGGAGATCCAGCCTGGACACACACACAACACCATCCACCACTCACCACCATCACCACCCTGAAGAGTGGAAGAGAAAGAAAGAAAAAACAACTCTAGGGTGCAGGCCGGCCTGCTTCAGGCTGTCTAGAGGCAGACTGACTGCCTGCCGTATTCTCCCTCTCTCTCTCTCTCTCTCTCTCAATCCCTATGCCCAGTGTGACGCCAAGCCCAACCTGGATTTGTTCTGAATGGGGGGGAAAGTGAAATGCCACGAGATCAGTAGCAAGTAGCAGCTGCACGGTTTCTCTCCTGGGAACCCCACTGCTTAGAAGCCTCCCGAGTGATGTTTGTTTAACCAACAGCTTTCAAAGTAAACAGAAGCGAATCACTCCAAAGAAGCTGAAATATAACCCTTACAAGAATTTGGGGGTCAGGGGGTGTTGGCAGAAAAAAGTAGTTTTTTAATTAATAAAGCCCCCACCCCCAAATCAGGGCCCATCACAATGCCTAAAGGAGCCTAGAATTGTCATAAAAATAAAAATTCATTGAAAGGATTCCTTACAATAAAGTGGCCTCGAAGAAAATCGCTCTTCTCCCACAAACACACTCCCGAGGTTGGAGGGGCTTGGTTGTCAGTGACTGAAGGGGCACACTACCACTTGATTTTATGGAAGAAGGCGAAAACAATCAAAGAGAGGTACGTTCCCTGCCCCGGAGTAGAAAGGAGTAGGCTGGGAGCTCTGCGTCGCCAACCCTGGCTCTGCCTCAGGCACCGAACTTTCCAATACCAAGATATTAACAGATGGTGGTGAGCACATGGAGGGCTGTTACTTACATAATCCAGCCACTCCGCCTGGCCGCGCTGAGCCCGGCGAGGCGCTCGCCAGGCCGCGCGCGCGCCTTCCGAGGGGTGCCGTTGCCCGCCCCCACCCCCCGAAATAAGTTGACTTTCTCCAACCCTACCCGGCTCTTTGAGGGCTAGGATTTGGAGAGGTCGTGATTTCAGGAAAAAATACACATCGATCTGTTTGTGCTTTATCCTCTTCAGTCCACAGTAGTGAAGAAGCCAAGGGCACAAGGAAGTGAAGGGGACGCTTTCGGGGAGAACGGGGCGCTCTCCCTCCGAATCTGGGGGTGCTAGGGAGTGGGATTCGCGCCATTTACACCCCTCCCTCTTTGGCGCGGATCAGCATCTCTTTCC